GAGACTAATAATCCCGAACAACCAATGTTTCTTCTCTCATTGTTCAAATTTATAAAAGGAAATCATTGTGTGAAATACAAAAAAAATGTCCAAACAGCCAGTTTTCCATCCAAAACGTGTCAATGTTTTAAAGTCTGTAAAAATTATCTTCTTAGAAAATCCAAGTAAAAAATAGGCAGAAGAGAAGAGGAGAACGTGACAAATTTAAGAGTTTTTGTGAACAGTGGTGAATCAAGTAGTGAAGAAATTGCCGTGTACCTAAAAATATTTGAAATTATTAGAATTATTATTTTTACAATCCCCTTTTTGTTGAAATCCTTTTTCATCACTCCACACATATTTTATCTGTAAGGTATTTCGTTTTCATTTTTTCATTATCATGATCATTTCAGCAACTCACTCATGTGAATGTAATCCAAAGTTTCTTTAGCATTCAACTCTGTCTGCAGAATTGCGTAAAATAAATCTACATGTATTAAACGTGAATATATATATAGGTGTCTCATCTCATGACAGTTATCTGTTTTACTTTCACATGGTTGGGGTTTTTTTCTAATTTGTATCAATGGCTCACTCTGTACTCTAATCCATTTTGCTTCATTCACTCGAGGAATTCATGCGTTTCCTTATCGTATTCATGTCTTTTGTTTTAGATATCGTGAAAAATACTACTACTACTACCTTCAGCAGACGGTTATGTGTTTTTTTTTTTTTAATCTTTTTTCTAAAATCATTTATTTTATCTTCTGTCTGATCCTTCGGTTAATTTTTTACAATAACTTTAATTATTGTATATTTCACCCGTCTTATTTTAGCCATCCATAAGCATGAATGTAGAGTGTATGAAAATTTACAAATGAGTGAATTTGTCTTTTTTTGAATGCCTTATAGAAAGAAAACTCAGGTAACAGTATTTATTCTGATAACTTTTGCGACAGTTTTCTAATTTTGGAACAAAATAGTAAAGATGAGTTTACCACCTAAGTATACGTGACAAATCGTCGTTTCGAAAAAGCAGTATCTTAACTTATCTACTGAAGGAATTCGATGAAATAAGATGAGGACTTAAACATATATATATGTACTACTTGAAAAATATAAAATGAAATAATAATATGCTTTATTCCATATAAAAAAAAATAAATATAAAGACAACAACAGCAAAATAACACGAAATACACAAAAATAATTAAAAATAAATGCGAAAAAATACCAATAAACAGCACATAATAATAACTCAGTATTGGGTAGTGGAAGCTATGATATGATTATGCATGGTGACAGTAAAGCTATAGTCATACAAGAAGTTATGAAATGATATTTAAGAATGTTTATCGCCAAGAAGATCAGTTAATTTGATTGAAACAACACTAAACAATCATAAAATAACATTTCAGGATTGTTGTTTTGTTTTTTATTGTCAGGTCTAATGCAGTGTTTGTAGTGGTAGTGTGAGTAATCCTGCATAATACAAAATTTTAAGATGGTGATAATGGCGTTCACAACCAATGATTGTCAGTTAATATTGCCGAACAAAAAAAGAAACAACAACCACAAAACTAATAATTACATGATGGTTAATGACAGGACAATTTTGTAATACTCATAGTGCTAATATAGTCGGAACCAGTAGATACACAAAAGAAGGAATACAGTAAAGTACAAAAAAGGAAGCCAATGTTAATAATTTAGGTAGCTAAGTATGTTTAAGAAGGAGTTCACTATAGAATACAAAATAAGAGAGAAATAAAAGAGCCTAAAATTATGTTATTAACAACAAAGCAAGTCATAGGTTTCGCGCTTAACATTGTCTCTGTCACTTAGAACACGGCCAAGTATGGTATCGTTGAGTTCCTGTACTTGGTTGTACGAGCATAGATTATTTTATACTGATTTCTGGTTTTACTTGATGAGATACAAGGCGAGAGTTGGGAATAGAGGGGTTGTTGGGGGTCGGAGAGTATGGTTTTTGACCATTTTTTGCATGTATTCAGATGCCTTTCAACTAATGTAGTGACGAGCTGACTGAGTTTTACACCACTAGTCCTACTGACTACCTTCAACATCCTTCTCAGGATGGCATAGTCCTTTTTCAGTAGACCAGGAAAGACTAACGGGGAGCAGTAAAGTAGAATAGGTAAGATACAAGAGTTGACAAATTGTGAAAGTAGAGGTTGGGTGATTCCAGATTGTCTAAGTTTCTTAATGTAGTAGGTTAGACAGAACACTTTCTTAGAAATCGTTAGGATATGAGATGTCCAAGTAAGGTCGGAAGACAGAACTAGACCGAGGTATTTTGCATTAGACTTAGTTTCAATTTTAGTCCCCTCAATGCAACAGGCTTCATGAGTACTTACTGGTATTTGTAGATCTCGTTTATGCCTAAAGGAGAAGTCAATAGTCTGGCATTTTGAGGGATTCAGCATGAGACCATTTAGTTTGGACCACTGACTGATGTCCGACAGGAAGCTATTTAATTTGAAACAGTCTGACTGAGACTTAATGGGAAACGATACAGACAGGTCATCTGCATATTTGACGAAGTTGATTTCGTCTGAGAGAGGTAAATCATGTAAGAAGAAGGAAAAGAGAAACGGAGAGAGAACAGCACCCTGAGGAACTCCAGCTTCAGTAAGCAAAGGAGAGGAAGATACACCATTATATACCGTGTACTGCATCCTATTAAAGAAGTAAGAGTTTATAAGTATAAAACTTGGGCACTGTGGTAGAGTATAATTCCATCATATCAAGTTGATATGATTATGAGCGATAGTTTGTGCTCGAAACGTCATCAGTTAATATAACTGTACAACACTGTGTGATTTATCAAAATAAAATCTTATCCATTATGGAAGTAAGAGTAGCCAGTTGATAGCCCAGGGCTCAGTTTGTGTAAGGCTAAGCTTGTTTAACAATAGACCTCTAGGTACAGAGTCGAAAGCAGATGTATAGTCAAGGAACGTACAACGGACAAACTTGGCCCCTTTGTCTAAGGAGGATACAATGTTGTAATGAAACACAGCAGCAGCGTCTAAAGTACTTCTACCCTGTTTGTAAGCAAACTGCTTTAGATCGTTTGAGAAACTTAGGGAGGGAACAAGTTTTAGTAACAATAATTTCTCCATTAGTTTCAAAAAAGGAGAGTTAATAGCAATAGGTCTAAACTTAACACTATTACCAGAACCTGACTTGGGTACAGGGATGATTTTAATATGTTTCCACAGAGAAGGTACAACATTATTAGAAAAAGAAGTGTTGAAAATGTTTGTAAGTGGGTTACTTAAAATATCAGCACATTTCCTTAGGACAATGGCAGGTATACCATCAGGGCCTAGACTCTGGGAAGGTTTATGTTTATGTTCACAACATTGTAGTTAAGTGTTCATTTGTTGAGATCATACTTTGATATTGAATGTACTTGTCTAAATGAAAGTACATAGTGTGTTATACTTTGAATCCGACTTTTTTTCACTCTTCTGCCTTCTGATTGGAATATTTGGCTTCAAACTCCAAGCTTCAAAGTTTGAGTACTGTGTGTTAGGCTGTGTTACGCTAAACCCCGCCTCTGGCTAGAAGAGACTAATGAGTGTTTCAGGTCGAGGTGGCCAAGTGGTCTAAGGCGCCAGACTCAAGAGTAATCTTCTGTGTGTTCTGTCTGGTCCACGATGTGGGCGTGGGTTCGAATCCCACCTCTGACACACGCTTTGTGCGTTGGTAGCACAGCGGTTAGGACGCCCGCCGACCATGCACATGGTCCGGGGCTCGATCCCCAGCCGACGCACACCCGATATCAATGGTCGGCCTGCGAAATTTGGGCTACCGATATCACATGCTGAAAATTCCATACTTGTGTCAAAAACACTGTGTGGAGTCAAGCCACTGATCACCTGTGTGACTGGCGAGCATTTTACCGCTGAACCAACGGTACTTTTATATCCAATGATAGCAGTTAATTTGAAAGAATGAATGTTTCATTGTGTGAACTGTGTCGGTGGCTAATTGATAGAATACTCACTAACAAAACAAGAGATCAGCGGTTTGATTTCCAGCCGAAACAACTCTTAGCCTCGCCTAGCCGGTAGTAAGCCAGGGAAATAGGGAATCTTTGGGGTGAGACTAGCAATTCTATTCTGTAAAAAGATACCACTGCTAGTGGGAATTCAAAGCTCAGTCTTGAAGTCCTATGCTCCGATTGGAACGCAAAGGAATAAGATTAAGGAAACGCAGAAAAATAACGAAACTTGAAGAATGATTTAACTGACGTCATCGAAGATTCACTTCAGTCTAATAGTACTGGAAGCAATAGAGATATCAGGATCGGTATTGATTCATTCCCGGTGCTGCAGTGATGAAAAAACCACCTCTTTTGAATTACATATACTGATGTTTAGAACTGCTACCGTATATGAAGGCATTGTGTAATATCAATTTTTCTGCATAGATGACAAAATGAGTGAGTTTCATTTTTAGTTGCGTAGGCTTTCGATTTATACAACCTGTTCTCTTAATGATCTTCATCGAAGCATTAAGAACACGATTTGCAGTATATGGTGTGCACAGTTTACTCTGATGCCACTTTCTCAGGCTACAAAAAGGTGTTTAGGAGTGTATTGGCAGGGAATCGAATCTAAACCACTAGCATAGCAGCTGGTGGGAAATCTGTAACTGAGGCACTAAAGCAGTATAGGTTCAATTTTGGCTGTCGTGGCTTTTGCTGAATCCGCTTTATTGTTACTGAGTCTTGTTCTGTATATACTTCACTAGAATGTGTAAATACTTCGCTTTTAAATCTTTTGTGTCCAACGAAAAGCCTAGCGGAAATTTTTACAAGTGTTAGGGAATGATGTTTTTAATTAATAGTAATCCATTTGAAATTTCTTATAACCGATACTTCTAAGAATTAAAAAACTTTCGATATATATGGTAAAATACTACAAAATACAGTAGTAGTTACGAATCAATTGAATATTTCCTATACACTTTTCAGAGAGTGTAGAAGAACTCGAAGGGGAAACTGACTCCTCTACCAAGGTAGTTATCGACAGAACACCAGTTAGTGTTTCTAACTATCAGTGGCTGTTTGGTAGATATAAATTCAAGGAGAAATCTACCTCTACTATTATTATTGTTCCTAGGGAATAAAAAGACAGTTGCAGTAGAAAATTTTCTTTTCGACGAAGTCATCATCTAGGCTGTACATTCGTGTATTTATATCAAATGGATGGGAAAGTTCCAGAATAATTTCTGGTTAAGGGTTAAATTAATAGAAATTACAATTAGGAATTAGAACGCCATAATAAACAGGGGGATGGGTAAAACTCAAACAAAGTAGCATAATAACTAAGAAGATTGACATTGTGCAATTGGGGGTTAGAAATGTAGAAATAATAAAATAGACAGGATATTTGGAAAAAAACTAATATGATGGATAATTGTTTATGCAATCAGGGATTAAATATGTAGAAGTAGTAAAATGACAAAATAAACAGGAAGTGTGGATATGAAAATATGGTAGTGTAGACAGGGATTAAGAAAACTTAAAATAACATGAATAAACAGGAAGTTTAGATAAGAAAGGCGATGGGATGGTCATTATTAAAAAAAATTTTACCTGTTTATGATGGCCATGGCAGGGACAGGGGTTGAACGTATTTCTTTTGGATACAAAGGGTGGGTTTGAGTTTTTGGATAGCTAACGCCTCAGCTATGCCCAAATGTCTTGATTTCACTCCCTTTGATAGGTTTGATTGAATCTTGTATATTACTTTGAAGGACTTTTCGAAAGGCGCTGAATGTCCTGAGTTGACCAGATGTTCTGTCACTGAACTGTATACGCGTTTTTGCTCTCCTTTTACCAGCCAGGCTGGGTAGTGTTCACGAGCGCGTTTTCCAAGTTGGCGCATGGTACGGCCGATGTACTCAGCTCCACAAGAGCAAGTAAACTGGTATATGCACGTTGAGGTGGCCCAATGCGACAACTTGTC